AGACTTCTCAGTAGAGATTGAATAGCATTTCTTATCCGTCCTTTTTTGGTGACTCTGGAGTCGGGGGGGCGGGGGAGGTGGTAAAGTCTGTGTTAAATGTATGAACCATGAGTCTTGCCTTTTCCTTTTGTTTATCTATAAAGCATAATTCACTATGGAATCTTCTGACTATAGTCTTCATGGGGAAAGATTATTCTCTTTGAGCAGCCTTGGCTGAATGGGCAGCTTTGGACAGGTGGTCTGAAGATCAGCAACAGGGGAAGAGAACACCCAGCCATCCAGATTAGCCGAATCATCCTGGGTGTTAGTGGGCTGCTATCCATCAGCCAGATGGTCTTCAAACCACCGTGATGCGATTGTGCTTTGGAAATCATGCCTACTGACCTGTTTTCCCCTTTCTATCTCTGACTGACTCCTGTTTTTTAAGCTCCTAGTCAGCAGGGTAATTTATACATATGAGCCATTCTGTTCTCAGAACAGAACCCTCATTGTTTTGCTCTGTGCTTCATTTAAGCGTGAAAACTCTTATGTAACCTTTGGCTCTCCTAGAAAAGTAAATACTTTATTTGCTAACCTCTTTCAACTCCAACTTCCTTTTTACCTGTCTCTTCTCTCCATCTAGATTTTGACTTCAAATCCTCCTTTATGGAGCTATCTCAGACTATACCAGTAACTAAAAACAGAAGAAATGTTTTAGAAGAGACTCAAGTTATAAAGAGCATCAGCTTTGAAATAAGACAGAACCTAGGATGAATATAAAAATGAATTAGACCAAGGAAATGAATGAGGTACAGATGTTGGATTCAAGCACTTTTCCATCTCATTGGGGAGATCAATTCTTTACATACATAATTAGGATACAAATGAGATGATGGAAGTGACATAAGAGGTTCATGTAAACTGTTAGGTAAGCTTAGGGGAAGAAGAGACATCCTTCAGCTATGAATAAGGAAAGGATTTGTGGAGTAAGGTGCATTTGAGACATGGCATTATATGATAAATTCTGTGGATGTTAGATATAAAGGGTATTCTTTTTTTGTTTTATTCAAATCTTAAAGGATATATAGACCATCTGTCCTGCCCATATTTTCTTGAATTTTCAAAGTTGAAGCATCAAACTGCTGTTTTCTTTCCCTCTTTAGTATTCATTTTATAAAGACCAAGAAAATTTCATTTCTTATACTTCCATGCTGAAAGAAATGTAAAGATTTCTCTGATTCTCTAAACAGTGTTTTCCTTTCCCTAAGGAGACATATATGTAATTAGATGAATGGCATCAGCTAACCACCATCTTGGTAAAAAATCTCTCATCTGGGACAGAGGAGGTGGCCATTTGCAGGGTTACTTGAGAAGCCACGTGTGGATTTGTTTTACAATCCAAGGCTACAGTCACAAGCATTGTTTCCATTACATCCTCCAGGTGGATAGCATAGCCTCCCCAGGGTCTCTACAGGGCTTCCCACAGTGTACAGAACCAGATACACTAAGTCACCAGGGCATTAAAGGTTTTTCTTCCTTTTAAAAGTATAATTATTTTTTCTGTCCCTCGAACTTACCCATTGTCTAAAACACTGAAAAGCTATATATTTTCAAGCTTTGTTTCTTAACTTTGACATGTTTGTATTATATGGTAATTTCTTGATTATGCAAAATTCATGGAGAGATGTTCTATCTAATGAAATTTTCTGGGTAACAAACTCTAAAATACTTTTTGTTAATCTAATGACAGTGATATTTTTTAAGGTTGTGAGTCCTGTCTTTCATAAGATTAGTTATCAACACTCAGAAATGAAAAGAAAGAATAAGAAACAGGAGCATCATTTAATTCACTTAGGGTCTGAGGCATAGTTACCAAGAATTTGGCTTTTGGTGGTAGTCTTACCTGGCTGTGAATCCTGACTCTGCCTCTTACTGGCTAGGAGTTCTTTAACAGATTATTTTAAATGTATCATTTTTTCTTATTTGTGAATTGGGATCACAGTGGCACTGACTTATTTAGCCTTTTTGTGATAACTACCTGAAACAGGTCATAAACAAAGCCTGTCTCAACAGAAAGCTAAAAATAAAAATTAATAGCACTTAGTGTTATGCTAATAGACATTTTACAAGTTAGTGCATTAATCTTTAAGACAACCTAATGGGATAGTATTTTTAACTTGATATTTTTATGTATACTTTAAAAAAAGTACAGTTGACACTTGAACAACATGGTTTGAACTTTGTGGGTCCACTTACAGGTAGATTTTTCCTATAGTATATACTACAGTATTACCCAATTTGCGATTGGATGCCAAATACAATACAATACAGGGGGCAAACTATAAATTATACACAAATTTTCAACTGTGGGGAGGATCTGTTTCTAATCCCCACATTGTTCATCAGTCTACTTAGATTTAGAAAGTAACTTGCAGATAATCTTATAATTCTAATGGCAGAGTTGAGACTTGAGTTCAGATCTGGCCAATTCTAAAGTCCATGCTACTTAGCTTCTTGAATTTTTTTTTCTTTTAGATATTTCTCATAACTCTACTTTATTGTTCTTGGTTTGTTGTTGTTCAGTCACTGAGTTGTGTCCGACTCTGCGACCCCATGAACTGCAGCATGCCAGGCTTTCCTGTCCTCCACTATCTCCCACAGTTTGTTCAGACTCATGTCCATTGAGTCAGTGATGCCATCCAACCATTTCATCCTCTGTCACCCTCTTTTTCTCTTGCCCTCAATCTTTCCCAGCATCAGGATCTTTTCCAATGAGTTGGCTCTTTTATCAGGTGACCAAAGTATTGGAACTTCAGCTTTAGCATCAGTCCTTTCAATGAATATTCAGGGTTGATTTCCTTTAGGATTGGCGGTTTGATCTCTTGCAGTCCAAGGGACTCTCAAGAGTCTTCTCTAGCACCACAATTTGAAAGCATCAATTAATTCTTTAATATATACTAATTCTTCTTTAATTGAACAGTGTAGAAATAACTAAGGCGAAATCCCCCAATCCCTAATCCTACTCCCCAGAAGTACACAATTTAAAAAATTTGTGCTGTATGCTTGCAAGTATTTCACCTGCATCTATATCTATATGATGCGAAGAACTGACTCATTTGAAAAAACCCTGATTCTGGGAAAGATTGAAGGCGGGAGGAGAAAGGATGACAGAGGATGAGATGGTTGGATGGCATCACCGGCTCAATGAACATGAGTTTGAGTAAACTGTGGGAGTTGGTGATGGACAGGGATCCCTGGTGTGCCGCAGTCCATGGGGTCACAAAGAGTTGGATACGACTGAGCAACTGAACTGAACTGAACTGAACTGATATCTATATGATGTGTGGGGCTCTTTTCTGAAAAGATTGTGCTAATTTATACTTTCAGTGGTGTGTAAAATTCCTATTTCCCTGCACCATTTTTAATACTGAATGTTCTCTTTCTATTTGCTTGTCCATTTGATAGCTGAAAGAATATCATATCTTTGCTTTAATTCATACTTCTTAAATTATGATGTTGAATGTCTCAAAATCAAAACAATTTCTCTATAAACAGTCCCACCTGAATTTGTAATAATCCCAGATGGTGGTGTTTTAAAATAAAAATCCATATAAATATAATGTAGATACTCTGTTTATTATCCTTATTCTCCTCTATGTGCCCCCAGAAAGCAAAGCAAATGACTATAATATTTAATATATCATAATTCAATTGAGAAGATGCCTAATGTGCCTTGGAATTTTAATATGGCTTATTATTACCAGATGTATCATTTACATTAAGTGAATATTTTTAGGAATTTTTGGAAAAGAATCATCAGGAAAGCAAGTACTGTATTCCAACCCAGTATTTATCAAATGTTTTCCATGTGCCAGGCAGGGTACTCAGTACCTAAGTTTTAGAGATAAACATGATAAATATAAATTCTTGTCAAATAGTTTAGCCTTGTGCAGAAGATAAGCAAATGTCTCTGAAAGCTTTGACTGGAGGGGACAGAGTAGCTAATTCAGGCTGACTGAAGCAATAAATAAGTGTATTAGTTAGTTAAGTCGCTCAGTCATGTCCGACTCTTTGCGACCCCATGGACTGTAGCCCACCAGGCTCCTCTGTCCATGGGATTCTCCAGGCAAGAATACTGGAGTGGGTTGCCATTTCCTTAAAAAGATTGCTAAGATTAAAGCTGAGCTTCAGCTCTGGTTGGTCCAGGGCCCTGCTTTTGTCATCAGAGAACCAGTTCTTCTATCTCTGTCTTTGCTCTGTCATTCAGTCTGGTTTCCTTCTGACTATGGGATGGCTGTCCATGGCTATTTGCATTTTATGCTCTCTTGTTAATTTGGGAGCCATGGGGACTTCTTGTGGTTCTTTTAAGCTCTAGGAAGGACCTTTTCAGAAGTCTCCAAGAAACTGCTCTTGGTGCCTCACTGACAAGAACTGGACCACATACACATTCCTGGCAGAATCACTGGCCAGAAGAATTGAGATTAGCCTTAAGACAATCAGGCCTACTCTGGGGGCAGAGAGTCATCATCACTGTTGAGTCACTCAGTCATGTCTGGCTCTTTGTGACCCCATGGACTGCAGCACTCCAGGATTCCCTGTCCTTTACTATCTTCCAGAGACACAAACTCATCTCCATTGAGTCGGTGATCCAACTATCTCATCCTCTGTTATCCCCCTTTCCTCTTACCCTCAATTTTTCCCAGCATTAGGGTCTTTTCCAGTGAGTTGGCTCTCCCTAACAGGTAGCCAAAGTATTGGAACTTCAGCTTCAGCATCCTTCCAGTGAATATTCAGGGCAGAGAGTAGGGATCAGCTTTCTCTTAGGTATATCTCTGAGCAACAGATAGATACCTGAAAAAAAAAGAAAGGCTTTCTACTGGAAAGGAAGAAAAGAGGAAACCATATCCACAATATCCACTACAACAATAAAGCAAGTAACTCTGATAAACTACAGTTTAGGTGACTGTGAGTGAAGAATGACATCTTTGCCACTTAAAAAAATTTTTTTTAATGTCTCATAGGATCAGAGCGGCACTGAACTGGTTAGTGATGAGGAAGACTCCAGTCTCGAAGTTGGTCTTAAACAATCTCCTGAAAGTGAAAGCTCCAAACTGGTGAGAATCTTGGCTATTTCATTCAATGTTCCTTTTAGGGATGAATTGTTTATATTTTGGATCAGTTGTTGTGTTTACTTCTCTTTGAATCTTGATCTCTGAGACAGCGGAAGCTATTCTGTATAGCGAATGACCCATCCACATAGCGAATGACCTAAAGAATAGCACGTCCTCCTGCTTTCTTGAATTGTGCTGTCTGGGACTAAACAAGCAATCTCTCTTTTAAATCTTGTTTACATAGGGTTTCTTTAGGCTAAGGTGGTGCTGAATTAGTCCTAGAGGCAAAGAAATAGATACTAAATGTATTCCTTTGTTTATAATAAAAGTTATTTAAACTTACCCAGGGGCTAGAGCATTAGGAGAAAGTCAGTTTTAGAGACCTCTCCCTCCTTATGTGTCCTACCTAATATTTGATATCTTGTAATTTAATACTTATGGAACTTTTACTGTATACCATGTGCTGTGCTGTGTTCTACATTCATTTTCTGATCCTCATAGTGTGGGTGGCAATATTTTGCTTTTACACATGAGGAAAGCTTGCCTTGCTGTTGTTCAATCACTAAGTCATGTCCAGCTCTTTGAGACGCTGTGGACTGTAGCCCGCCAGCCTTCTCTGTCCAAGAGATTTCCCTGGCAAGAATACTGGATGGTTTCTATTTCCTCCTCCAGAGGATCTTCCCTGACTAAGGACTGAATGCATTTCTTCTGCCTTGGCAGGCAAGTTCCTTACCACTGAGCCACCTGGGAAACTCAGACTTGCTTAAGGACATTAATTAACTTGCCAGAGGCCAGTCACTCGTAGGCCTGAAGGTTGATCTCATTTGGTCTGACTCCCAGCCTTTGTTCATAATCTACCTTCCTGTTTTGCAGCCTGGCACTTCCAAGGTTAGACTGAAAGTTCTCGAAAGACATGTGGGCTTTTCCCCCTCTCTGTTTCAAAATCTCTTATGAACCTCAAAGAATTAATCACTTGGGAGGGTCACTGTGATTTTATGATAGCATCGAATTGTTCATTTTACTTGAAGGATTTTGAAAAATCATCCATTTATCTTCTTTCAACTTTTAGAAAATATATTTCAGACTGGCTTAGGGTCCATGTCCTAGAAAACGAACTGATTCTTTCAGGAGGATGGAAAAGGACATTTAGGCAAAAGTGGAAATTATCAAGGCTCACTCTTACACAAATCCTACATGAGGCATCGGGAACAGCAGATTGGGACCACTGTTCCTGAGCAAGGCATTCCAGGGTTACACTATTCCCTTTCCAAACAATAAACTGCATCTTGGCACAGAAAGGGATGGGGAACATCAGCAAATTTCAAACTCAAACTCCTTCTTTCATTTAAAAATACTGTTGACTTGTTCTTTTTGACATTGTTTTTCCATAGGTAGGTTAGGGAAACGTCTTTTAAAGAAATAGGGTTTTGTAAGTGTGAGCCCTTGATTTTATCCATGGAGAAGATGGTAAAAAGAGTGAGAACACTCCTTTGCTTGTTGGGAGAGGCTGATAGTCCCACAGAGGCTCAGTTGCAGGCTGTAAACAAAAGCCATCATCTACCCTGTTCCCAAGAAGGCAGCACCAGTGATGGGGCTCCAAGATAGTTGAAGAGCCCCACCTTCAGGCAGAGGACATGAAAGGCTGGGGGTAATTTTTGGATATTGTTTCATGCTGCATTTTAACAGGAGTAAAAACCTTCCCAAACTCATTGACTGGTATTTATTTTTCCTTCCCCCATGACCTTCTCTTTTTAATATTCTGTAATTTCTTTTTACCATTTCCAATAGAATATGCATGGTCTAGTCAATTGAGGAAAGATAGCCTGAATTTGAACAACTTTTATAGCATAAATATAAATGGCTTAGCATAAAGTATTGCTTAAGATTGTGTTTAACTTGGGCAAGTTAGACCTCATCAAGTGTCAGTTTACTCATCTGAAGAATGGGAGTAATCAGGATGAGGAAACAAATAGTCAATAAAGTATAGAGTATAAGGCACATAGTTGGTGCTTAGCAATTTCATTCATTAATTCAGAATATATTTGCCAGTTGCCACTTCCAGGCAATGGAGATATAAAAGTGAACAAAATGTACCAAAATGCCTGCATTTGTGGAGACTTATTCATGAATAGATGGGGGAAGGGAGATAGATAGTACATAAATTAGCAAATTAAATTATATGAAATTGTTGTTCTCGAGGGTAAAAATTTCATCTGGCTCAACCTAACATATTCATTATTGTCTCATTATAAAGTACAGTTGACTCTTGAAAAATGTGTTGGTTAGGGGTGCCAATCTTCTGCACAGTGGAAAATCTGTGTATAGCTTATAGTTATAAGGCCCACTGTGATTGGGGTTCCTTCAGATCTGTGGCTTAGTATTTACCTGGAAAAAAATCTGTACAAGCGGACCCACGTGGTTCAAACCAATGTAGTTAAAGGGTCAACTGTATTAATAGCAGTTTCTCATCATTAGTCCATCATTTGATTGTTTTTGTTATGCAATTGGTGCGAGCATCCATGTGCTGCTGCACCATTCTAGGATGGTTGCCGGACGCACCTTGTGAGAAAACTGCATGTGATCTTTACAGGCCTTGACTCCTCTCGCCTTAGCTTATGTCAGATGGAAACAGTAAGATGTAACCCTCTAAAGGTTGCACTGTTTGTTTCCTGTAGGAGCGTATGTCTCATCAGTCACTGCTGGCCTTTACAGGAGAACAACTCAGGCCTTGCTCTTAAGCAGCTTACCCTTGAGCACCAGTGAAGATAGGAGAATTTGTTATCTGGAAGATCAGACCAGGCAGACGTGTATTAGAGACAGAGAGAAAAAAATGTTGCAGGGGTTCAAAAGAGGATAGACAACCATCTTGTTCAGGGCTTAGGGATGGTTTCTTAGACTCTTGGCCTTTAAGGTGAACGTTTTAAGATAAGAAGGTGATTGACTGCTGAGGTTGAAGTGACAGGGGAGGTTCACCAGGGGGATCAAACAGCGTGGGTGGTGGAGTTAAGGGTAAAGGCTGGACTTTTGTACAGTGGGCAATAGAAGCTGAATAGTGGAATCACAGAACTATGACTTATACTATGGATTATGGATTAATGTATTCAGTATTTCATGCTCAGTGTTCAATAAATGTCTCATTAACTACATAGATACGCATATGTACTAGGTGCTACCTATGAGAAATTATACTCCAAAGGGCTATTAAATTGCTTCTCCAAGATTACCTGTTTTCAGAATTAGGACTAAGCCATGAATCTCCATATATTCCAGTGCTTATTCCTACTCTTCAGTTGTGATTTGCTTTCATCCATATCTCCATAGTCCCCAGACTCACAGCCAAGGAGTTTATAATAACTTCAGTAGATATTTTATTTCTCTAAATTATATTTTAAAGGGAAAATAGCTTGTTTTTAGACAACTGATCAGATGATGGTTTGTGAAGCATAGATTCCAATTGTGAGAGACTGGAGGCAGGGTAGTGTCTGGAATCTATTTCAGGAGTCTAGGTGAGAGCCTGTTAAGACTATTTTTTAAGTCTTTTCAAAGGAACTTAAAAAAACAAAAAACAACCAACTATTTGTACAAAGCTTTGCAATTTGTAAAACAGTCTTTTTTTTTATTGTTAGCTTAATTTTTTTGGTATCTGTTTTTTCTAACAAGATACTAGTTTGTGATTTTATTCAACTTTATCCCCAAAATAGCCCAATGTAAGAAATAGGGCAGGAGTGACTTATCCCTGACTTACAGATGAGACCTTAAGCTGCTTAGTGACAAACCACAAAACTAGCAATTAGAAGAGCTGGGCCTCATCCTGAAGGGTCTGTTTCTCTCTGGTATTTTGACATAGAAGAGCATGAATCCCTAAAATAGTTATTTTACTCTTTTGGGTATAAACCTATGTCTTTATCATGTTGGGGATATCTGTGTTAATATACTTTTGGGTGGATAATATAACTAAATTATTAAGAGTGCAGAGATTAGAGCCGTTCTCCTTAGATTCAAATCCTGACCCCACCATTTACTAGGCATGTAACCTGAGGCAAATGGCTTTGCCTCTTTGTGCCTCAGTTTCTGTGTCTGTAAGACAGGAGAAAGAAAATAATGGTTATTGTGAGAGTGAGGAGTTAGTAACTATAAAGTACCACGAAGAACCATGCCAGAGTGCATGGAATCACTGTCTCAGAGGGAGTTGTGTTAATGCTGCTGATGATATTATGCTGATTAAAGCATTAAAGGTGAGTCAGATAAGGATTAGCTGTTCTATGTGAAGCACTAGGTGTAACTTGGAAAACTGAAGTGAATTTTTCAACCCCCAAAATGCAACTGCTGATAACAGACAGCATCTGTTGAATGCCTGTGTGCCAGGCATTGTTCTAAACTTGTTCACGTAATAGTCCTGTGAAGTTAGTACTAGTATTATCCTCATTTAAAAGATGAGAAAACTGAGGTGCTGCAGTGTTAAGTAAGTTGCCTAAAGAATCACCCAGTGAAGCTAGGATCCAGGCCTGTGCGCTTTGAGGCTGGAGCCAGCACTCCAAACCACTATGCAGTACCGCCTCTCAGTGAGATGCAAACAGAACAAAACCGAGTCCGGGGACAGCAAGAGAGTTACACTGAGGTCTGAACTTTGTTATTTTCATTTCCTTTTTGTCTAAATCTTGAACTTCAACACAGAAAATTATGACATAGAAATAGGTAGATTCTGAAAATTACCTTTCACGTTGGTAGAAGTTATATAGACTTCCAAACCAATGTTGCATAAAGTAAAGGAAACTAAGGCTTTTCAGGAAGCTAACCTGTGCCAGGCATTTTCCTACTGGTTATTTTATTTAACCCAGTGATGCACCTGTTATTAGCCCTACTCTGTTGAAAATATACTGAGGGTAAGAGATGGCAAGATTTTTTCCTCAGGTCTCACAGCTGGAATAATATGGTTGGGACTCAAACCTAGTTCTCTTTGCCTCTAAACCCCATCTTCTTGTCACTTTATAGTTCTCATAACC